AAGATTTTGATAGTGCCACATTAAGTAAAAAAAATACCCTTTGCTGAATACGTCCGAAACCGAGTGGTTTTTCGGACCTATCGTGCTTATCAAGAATGATTTTGCAATTAAATTTTTAAGAACTACACTTCTACCAGGGATGCTTGAAAACCATGTGTTTCAACTTTCAACTGTTTCAAGCCCCCAACATTTCTAAAACGTACGTCCGAATTTCCGGAATTGCCCCTACGTATGCGGATTTCATTTGAGCAAAGAAAATTTGCAAACGGGGTACTGAAATAGATACTTGACTAACCCGAGGGCTTTTTCACTAGCCCGCATTTTTTTCCTTTTATAGAGTTTCTCCAGTTATGCAGCCAGGATTTGGCTGGGGGGGGGGGGGGGGGCTAACAATGTTTTTCAATATCCCTTTTTTTTTGGGGGGGGGGGGGGGACTTACACTCCTATTGTACTACTCGAAAACGGGCCACAAACTGACCTCTCACTTCCAGAAAGTCCACGTGGAATGGAATGGTTTTGTGGCGGTCATTGGGTAATTACCTAAACTTAAACAGAAGACCAAAACGTCTTTGGGATGGACTTTTTTTAAAAATATACTTGAAGGATTTATTTTCATTTACAAACAAATCTTAAATGAAAACGTGGTCCAAACAAGCCTGAATAAATCTAGAATCCATCAGATGTACGTAGATAAATATTTGCGTCGTTACCATTTTCGATCTCACGTGTAAGTACACGATGTGAAAACAGACGTGATCCAAAGACGACCTTGGAACGAAAATAGGTCGTTAGTAAAATTCGTTTTTTCCCATTTCCAACATCTTTTCTGAAGCAATTTGTCAGATCTAATTAACAGATCTAATAATTTAATCATTTAAAACAATTGATGAAATTATACTCAAATTGATACAGTTTAGCTTTCTAAATTTCATGACTTATTTCTTCCTGTCCTTTCATCTTTGCCGTATCCCTATAATTTTTGGACTCGCCAGCCGGGCTACCGGTACTTTAGGAATAGTTTGACTAGCCCGCAGCTGTTATGACAAGCATTTGGCTAGCTAGCTACCACTAATTTGGAACCCAGCTTAGACGTGGATATTAAGCAATTGTAATCAAATTTTGGTCCTACTTTTCTGCAAACAAAGACATTTCTGAACTGTCATTAAATTGTACATTGTATTGCAGGTTTTGCAATACACAGCCACGGTGATGTGAGCTCCTTTGATTGGACCCTGACGATTATTGTGTAATTGGATATGCAGTGTCTCCATATTGGCTGAACGGGTTTCCATTGACGTTGTACAGGGGCCTAGCTCGAAGCTGGCTCGAAGATGGGTAGGCCACTCATTCGAATTTCGTAGGAGGGCTTAGTCATGTCTGCGGCCTTCCACAGGCCCAGGCCATGTTTGCAATGATACCATTGGGCAGCATGACAGATTGATATTTAAGAGCATGTACTCTTGTGTGTATATTGTAGTAGCACACACGTTGATACTGGGTTGGTCTGCACGGCGGTGTTGCTGCAGCATTTCACCTTGCATCCACTGTTGGTTGATATCCTGAAGTAAGTGTCTAAAGCAAGATTAGAGAAAATTGACTGTACTTAATAATAATAATAATAATAATTTAGGAGGCTAATAATCCTTACTCGCAGCTGGTATGCTGAATTGCGAAGGACGCGGCTGCTATTTTGCTTACAAACACTATTTTGCTTACAAACATCGTGATTTAGCATTCTAAGTTGATTCCATAAGAAAAAGTTGGTTAATTATGTTACTTATGATGATCATGGAATGTGCCAAAATCTGATTAGGCCTATGCCCATTTTCCATTTTCACAAAGAGACGCCAACATGCCCGTCCCTGCGTGAGATCGTAAAATTCATGTTTGCCGAGTAACACGGAACCTTGAGGGCGCTGTCTTGCAATCGTGGCGACGTTTTCACACCAAACAAACACACAAAGACAACCTTCTCAGTTGTATGTGGCTCTATCGCGTTTCCTGCCCTTTACGTTCAAGGTTGGTGGTGTGTTGGTGCGGCCGGTAACATTAAATGATTCAGACTGGCTTTAGTTCACGAAACTTTGGCTTGAATGTCTGTCGTTGCTACATATTTTAGCGTATTTTCTTGTAAATATTACAGGCAGCTTCACAACCGATAAGTTTATCCCGACACAAATTATTGCTAAACTCAAGGTCGAGGGCAAGCAGACAAGCGTTGCACATTAGGCCCAGGCCTATCGTTGTTAGGCTAATTTAAGCGAAACTCAACAGGGGCCATACACTACAAGATCGCCAACTTATTTGCAAAGGAGCAGAAGTACAAAAAAGGAAATAATATGGTTCCCACAATTGAAGGTGCTCACACTTTTTTTTTTAATGTGTGTGTGCTTTGAGCGGGCTGTATATACATCAAAAACATTACTTCAATACACACATGTTATACAATAGAAATAACATTCTTTAATTGTGAAATGCATGTAATAATCTCTGATATTTACTTACTTTTTTTTTTTAAAACAAACCTTGCACCAGAGGGTTGTGTAGAAAAATCAGCACCAACACTTCAAAGGGTCAAAACGTGTGAACACTTCAATTGTAAAGATGAGGTCTGTGATGCATGCCAAAGGTGTTATGGACACCCCGTTGTAAGTGATCCATGTAGCTCGCATAATAGATACAGTTTACATATTGGCTCTTGCCCCCAAACTCAAATATTCAGGGTTCTTCTGCAACAAATCCATGGGTATCTTCACCTTTCAATCCAACTGGAGGTGGTGTAGGTTCACCTACAACATTATTTTTTAGTATGGCACAGTGTGTCAGTGTTGATGGGACCTCAAACTTGGGTGCTGATGGTTCTTTGCCAAAACAATCTTGCATTTCTCTTGGTAATGCACGTCTCGAGTTCGGTTACCTCTGCAACAAATCCATGTGTCTCTTCACATTTGGGTCCAATTGGAGGTGGTGGCAAAATATTCATGAAGCTGACGAAAGGGAAATTGATCCGGAACATTTTCTAGTTGATGGAGTTGCTAAAGAATTGTCTTCAAAACGCAAACGTTTTGCAAGAGTAAGAATGGTCTTTTCAAGGAGAAAGGGAATAGCAGTTTGGCGTATGTGACAGAAAAATCACAGAAACCCATGCCTGTAAAGAGAGGGCGCATTGACATAACTAAATGTACCTATTGTGACTGTCGAGGTTTTGATTGTGATCAAATTAGTTTACAAGAATCGGAAAAAAACCCCAGAACGCCTACTTCAACATTAGTAATTTGCAAAGCCAAAGAGAATGGATTCATAGGCTTGTATCTCTTGTCGATTAGGTGTCAAACACTGGTCACACATTGTACTATTATACCGTGCCTAAGTTAGGTACACACCATGAGAAATGGAGTGTCTACAAAAGCAAGTTCTTGACTACTCTTAACATATCTGATAAACAAGTCCGAACAATTCTTAACAAAACTGATGAGGTTGGTGTTCTTCATGGCGATCAAAGGGGTGGTAGACAGACAAAACAAAGAGATGAAATACTGAAGGGCCAGTTCAAAATGCCAGTATCTGTCCTAGGAATTGAATGCTCAAATCATGTTTGGACTGTATAAGTAGGAGCCTCTTTGTCATGTTACAGAAAGGTCGTTCGGTCTCTCAACCTGAAATTTCATCGACCCAAAAAAGATATGTGTGGTCTTTGTAATACGAATTTGACTAGTAATGAGTTGAAAAGGCAACAACTCAAGAAAGAATATGATAAGCACATTCAAGAAAAAGAAAAGGTACAAGAGTTGAAAGTAGTTGCCAAAGAGATAGCCACCAAACAAAATCAACATTGTGCTGTTGTGTTCCACCTTGAACAGGTAATATACATCTCTCGGTCAAACAGATCGGAATTGTTTTATAAAGACGTTTGAGTTGCATCAATTTCACTGTTTATGATTTGGGAAACGGAGATGGCCATTGCTTTGTGTTGCATGAGGGACAAGCTGGTCGGGGCTCTTGTGAGATTGCATCCTTTGTTCATTCGTTTCTGAAGGAAGTCGACAAACAGGGTGTGACGGATGTTGATCTGTTTGCCGACGGCTGCTCTGGTCAAAATAAAAATTTAATTGTGCCTGCCATGATGTTATACCTTGTGAGGAACTTACAGTCAGTCCAAAAGGTTACATTTCATATTTTTGAAGTAAATCACAGACAGTCGGAAGGAGAAGCGATCCATAGTACTGTGGAGCGAGCATTAAATCGAGTAGGTGAGCTATTTGTTCTTTCTCAGCTTCTTTCCGTCATCAGAATGGCAAGAAAAATTCTAAGACCATATGTAATCTCAGTGAAGTCAGCTGAGGTCCAGGACTGGAAGTCGTACAGCCAAAGACTTGGTATCCTCCGAGTCCGATTCTCAGAAGATGGCATAAGAGTACATCGGACAAAGTTCTGACAAATCTAGGTTGTCAAGTACGAAAAAGAGCAATTCGGCTTTAAATACTCTCACACAGACCCCTCATTTTCCATAATCAATATCAGTAACAGTCATCGACACACGGACGCTTTTGACAGTCAGGCACCCGAGTCTCTTCACACATCTGGATGTCCAAAACTGTTATGTTGTCTCTGCTCTGGGCCAATTTCTTTCATCTCGCATCCGGATTACCGTCAAGCATTCTATCGTCAGCTCCCACATCAGACAAGGTGATCTTCTGTAGATTCCTCTCATAATAATCTTTCTGTTTTTAACAGTCTGAATACAGTAACTTAAGCTAATGTTAATCGTCAGTCAGGTTGGTTGTCCACGGTCGACAGACTGCATTGCCTCTTAATAGGCACAGTTCTTTGTTTAATGTTACTTTGCATATTTAAACATTTATTTATTATAGAACAACATTCCAAAATAAAATTGTGATAAAAATGAATATAAAAGAACGTGAGGGAGTTGAAACCGGTATTAGCCAAGTAGAATGTTTATTATACTCAGACTCAAAATAAGCAACAAAGGGACAAAATCATTGAGTTTATGCAACAGCCTATACTGGTTTATTTGTCCAGATACCAGATTGGGCATACCGGTTGTCAATAAAGTAGTGGGCCACACCAGGCCCATCTAGTAATGGGCAATAACATGCCATTGGGCAATAACGACTGCAAGTACCGGCTGATCATGATGTGACTCAACGATGCATCAAATTGCCTGGAAACCTGCAGTTGTTCCCTGTCTACTTGCAGGCGCTCAATCTCCACAAGTAGACGCTCTCTCTCAGGAAAAATTACGGATTCATTAGAATGGAATCTTGAGCTTGATGATGGTGGTGCTGGTAGGGGTTGAGTTTTGCTTGATTGAGCTGCCGCTTCAGACTCATCCCGATCCTCAAATTCCTCTTCCATTCCTTTTCAGCAGTTGTGACCGCTAAAAAAATAAGATATACAGAAAAACAGATTTGTTATATCATATTAATGTCTTATCATATGTATTGCATGTATTTATGATTTTTAGTAAAGTGAATGAAAGCAAATGTTTTTTTGTGAAACAAATTATATTTACAAAAATATTAAATTATTAAAAATATAAAGTATTTCTTGAAAGAAATACAAACAAGTTTTCTGAAGTCTTGTATATTATTTTTTTTTTAAATTGTAGCACTACAAGTATTTTTTCGGCATTCGTACCTTCAGCGACTATGTCCATCAAGAAATCAACTTCTGGTTGGAGTGGATCTATTTCTCCTTCCTGGTTGAGGATGCCATCCTTGCCAATGGGCAGCAACGCCTCCAAAACCAGATCAAAGGTTTTTTTAGTGGCTGGTTTCTCGCCTTCTCCTGTATAAAAACTACAACAACTTAAGAGAGTGGTCTAGGTTCATACTCATTACAGGCATGAGAATGAATTGCCAATGAAAAAAAACCCCATGAAATTTGTTCCAAACGGGGGGGGGGGGGATGTGTGCAATCAAGCAAACAAACAAAAAACAACCCCTAAACTGGCTCAAAATAAATAAAAGTGCAAACATTTTGGCAAAAAAAAACAGTTCACTCTCGAGAAGAATGGTGTGACCATTAACCATGAAAGTTAAATACATATTGCCGTTGAATGTAAAAGTTTGAGTTAAAATAAAACAAATTATAATTTCTTCCTGTTTTTACTGGCATCTGTAACCCGCATGACAATACGCACACATACATTGTAAATTTGAATGAGTTTTGCTTGAAAATGTATTTAAAACTTCATCCCTGGATTAATGTGGTTAGAATAATGAAACTTAGTTCCAGATGGGTAGTTAAATCCCGGTGCAAGCGTACTTAAGTGCTGAACCAAATTCTTTAATTAAATGTTTCATATGCTCACTATATTTTCCATTTTAGACTCACTTGATGTATTTTTTATCAGTTTGTTTATCTTACACTTGACTTTTTACATGACATTTTTATGTTTAATTTCATTTACTGTTACAATAAACCAGAAATAAAATGAGAACCAAGAGTGAAACTGGTCTAATGTGAATTGAGGTTAAACATAAGTATTCCGATTTTGAGGTCTCTAAACTAAGCAACTAAAGGGCTGACTCTGCTAAGCATCTTTTCATTTCTTTTTTTCCCTTTAACTTTGCTGTTACATTTTTTTTTGTTCATACAACTTTTTGCCACATTGGCCTAAGTTATCCAGTGTGCGCCAGCGGAACACAGAAAAAGTATATAGGCATCAGTTATCCCGCAAGCGCAAGTGGAATACGGACAATGTAGTGCGTCTTTATCCCGCATACCACAAGGCCTTTAGGACTGCATTTTCTATGTTCCACGAGTGCGAGCGCATAGTTCCTACGTGTATATACATGTACATGAAGTACTTTTAGCCGTGTACAGAAATATAGCAAAAATAGAAATCTCCTGTGACTCGCTCTCGGCCAATCAAGACACAGAATCTGTGGGTGAGGTGTTACAATAGAAAATATACATTGCCTCTGAAATTGGCAGTCATGTTCTGTCAATGTTACTATTAAATCCTTATTCCTTAAAATATCTTTATTGGGCCATTTTTTTTAAATTACTTGGACCACTAATTTTCAGGTGTAGGCGACTAGTGAAATTCAATACTCACAACTAATTTCAAAATGTCGCGACTAGTCACGGCATAACGACTTGTCGACTAGTTAGAAATAGTCGCGACTATTGGTGACTAGGCCACTAGTTGCAGTAGCTGCACAGGCCCTCTTATTTTTTTGAACTAGCACCCTTTACGTGCATTAGCTGTTTAGCGCATGCACCTGAAATGCACCTGAAAAGTGTAATAATACCTCACGAACACACATTTATTCCCTTATTTATGTTTCAGTTCAAACATGGTTTCAATGAAAACCACAGCTGCGTGGTAACTATTTATAATACCATAGTGTTTTTGCCACGGATTCGACCAATCAGGATCAAGGATATGAGTCATCTTCAAGCAAACTGGTGGGGCGGGGGTAAGAATTGGAGGTGCTTTCCAGTCGTGTGGCAGCAGATAACAATATTTTATACACATTTAACCTTTTTTTTGTATTTAGAAATATCTGTTGGTGAGCATGATGCGATGGAGTTGCCCATCATGGATGTGACCTTCATACAGCAAGTCATCATCCTCATCAGCATTGTCATCGTCTCCGTATTCCAAACTCCTTGGAGAGGTTGTACAGCACGCAGCACACCCTGATGATGACTGTAGCGATTCCCATCTAATCGATGCATTGTAGCAAGTCTAATCCATGTATCCCAGCATGCATCACTCCTAACATGGCCGCTTACATGTTCGTATGTGAACTCGTGTTGTCGTCTAATAAACCTGGAATAGTTCCCAACATATCGGAGTCTATAACTTTCTTCATGGTGTCAGTAAGTACAGGATTCGCTTCTTAATACATCATGGCTACTTTCGGCAATATTGGAGAGTTTTGTGAAAAGAAAGAGACATGGGAAATGTACACTGATCGTCTCGGCGAATATTTCGCGGCGAACAATATCTCCGACGCAGCACGCAAAAGGGCCATACTCAACTCTGTCGTTGGTTCACAAACATATAAGCTGATTAGCGATCTTCTTGCCCCTAAGAAACCAAACGAAGCTACATATCAAGAACTAGTGGACAGACTTGAGAAGCATTTCAAACCCACAAAGTCTAGCATCATTGCTCGCTTTCAATTCAACAGCCGATGTCGGCGATCTGGTGAATCAATCGCCGAATATTTAGCAGCACTACGTGCATTGGCCAGTGACTGCAAGTTTGGCCAAAACCTTGATGAAATGCTGAGAGACAGACTTGTGTGTGGCGTGCAGAATGAACGCATCCAGAAATCCCTGCTTGCCCAACCAGAGGACAAACTTGACCTCAAGCGCACAGTGGAACTTGCACAATCAATGCAGCTCGCAGGTGATCAGGCAAAGATGTTGTCAGCCTCTACCAGCACAATGGCTGAATCAAATACCACTGTCAACGCTTTCAAAAAGAAACAAACTCAACGCCCAAACAGACCAACATGGTCAAATCAACGGCAGACATCTGCACGCAGTAGTTCTACACAGCATCAAAAGCCCAGAAAACCTTGTGGAAATTGTGGAACTTTTCACAAGAGGCGCGAATGCCCAGCCTATGGCAAGACTTGCCACAAATGTAACAAAAAGAATCACTATGCTGAGTACTGCAGAAGCAGCCGCCACGTCTACACAGTAAACCCCGATTCATACTCGGAGGAAGACGAACCTGCCGTGGATGAGCAAGAATTATTTTACGTTCGAGCCGTGGACAACACCAACTTGAACTTGAAACATGACATCCACGCTACGCTTGTGGTGAATAACACACACGTTCCTGTCCAACTTGACACTGGTGCACGTTGTAACGTCCTGCCCATGCATGTTTACAACGTCATCGCACCACCTAAGTCCATTGATAATTCAAAGTCAACCAAGCTCATCGCTTATGGAGGAACCGAGCTCCACACAGTTTGACTAGCTACACTGCCATGTCGCATTGACTCATCGCTGACTGACCACAATATTGACTTTCACATTGTTGACACACAAGTGAAAGCTATCCTCGGCTTAACTGATTGCCTCCGTCTAGGCCTGCTGTCTGTCAATAACTTGGTTTACCATGTCTCCAATGACACCACATCACCTCAAGTCTTCAAAGACTACGAAGACCTGTTTGACAGCTCGCTCGGGTCACTACCAGTCATCTACACCATGACCATAGACCCCAATGCTACGCCGGTTGTCCGACCCCCACGTCGCATCCCTGCTGCAATGCAAGACAAGGTCAAGTCCGAACTGCAGCGGATGACTACCCTAGGCGTGATCACTCCAGTCTCCGAACCGACAGACTGGGTTTCCTCCATGGTCGCGACTCATAAGAAAAACAGCGAAGAAATCCGCTTATGCATCGACCCTCGCGACCTTAACGAAGCACTGAAACGCCCACACCACCCTACCCGAACAGTAGAGGAAGTCGCTGCCAAGATGGATGGTGCGACAGTTTTCTCAGTGCTTGATGCTAAATGCTCGTTCTGGCAGATCCCCTTGGACTACGAATCATCACTGCTGACTACATTCAGCACGCCATATGGCAGATACCGCTATCTTCGCATGCCCTACGGCCTCTGTTCTGCCTCCGATGTGTACCAGAGAACCATGGAGCAGATATTCGCCGATCTGCCATGCTCCATCATCGTAGATGACATACTAGTTGGTGGACGCACTAAAGAGGAACATGATCGATACCTCAAAACTGTCCTTGATCGGATACGCAAAATCAACATGCGCCTCAACCCTACAAAGTGCCGCTTCGGTCTTGAACAAGTCTCATATGTCGGTCACGTTTTCACCGCCAGTGGTCTTAAGCCTGACCCAGCCAAAGTCAGTGCTATCACCGACATGCCTCCACCCAACGACGTTACTGCCCTACAACGCTTTCTTGGCATGGTGACATACCTGGCCAAGTTTGTACCCAACTTGAGCGACTTAACAGCCCCACTACGCGAGCTCACACATAGTGACATCCATTGGTGCTGGCTAGAGCAACACAATGCCGCATTTCTAGCAATCAAGGACAAGATTGCTAATGCGCCGACACTCACGTACTTTGATGTCCGCAAGCCAGTCACGTTGACCTGCGATGCCTCCAAGTTTGGCCTTGGCGCAGCCTGCCTACAAGAGGGTGCCCCTGTCGCGTATGCTTCACGTACCATGAGTGACACTGAACAACGCTACGCACAGATTGAAAAAGAACTGCTTGCAGTTGTGTTTGCCTGCACCAAGTTCCACGACTACATATACGGTAAAGACATCGTAGTCGAAACTGACCACCAACCATTGGTCACCATCGTCAAAAAGCCTCTGCTGAGTGCCCCTGCGCGGCTTCAACGCATGCTTCTCCGGTTACAGAGGTATAACATCACCCTCGTGTACAAGAAAGGAAAAGAATTGTTCCTTGCCGACACTTTGTCACGTGCACCCTTGACAACGACCGGTACTGAAACTGATGACCTGCAAGTCATGACCCTCCTGTCAATCTCTGACATGCGACTTGAACAGCTCAAGAAAGCAACTGCCTGTGACTCTGCCATGCAACAGCTCACTGATGTCATCAGTCGCGGATGGCCTTCGCATATCAACAATGCCCCACCAAAGGCCCACCCCTACTTCGCGTTCAGAGATGAACTGGTTCTCGACCGCGGTATCATCTTAAAGGGACATAAGGCCATCATTCCCAAGTCACTACGCGCAGAATACATCCAAATACTGCATGAAGGTCACCCAGGCATCGAGGCTACCAAACGCAGAGCCAGAGATGTAGTTTACTGGCCATCAATGTGCCTTGATATCGAGCAGTCCGTCTCTGGATGCACAGTTTGCAACGCTACCAAAGCCCATCAACAGAAAGAACCACTGAAAAGCTACCCCCCACCCAGCCTACCATGGGAACACATTGGAGTTGACCTATTCCATTGGAACGGTATGGATTACCTAGCCCTTGGTGACTCATACTCCGGCTGGTTTGACTTCGCTTCACTCGACAACACCTGTGCCTCTACAGTCATTGAGGTACTCAAGAGACAATTTTCCATCCATGGAATCCCCCGCATCGTTATCAGTGACAACGCACGACAATTTGATTGCTTCGCCTTCAAACAATTCGCACAGTCATGGGGCTTCCAGCATACAACCAGCAGTCCCCATTTTCCCCAGTCCAATGGCCTTGCAGAAAGCTCTGTCAAGCGCGCCAAACAACTCCTCGAGAAGACAAAACGCGACGGTTCAGACCTCTACCGAAACCTGCTGAACATTCGCAATGTCCCAACCAACCCCCAGCTTGGCTCACCTTCCCAACGTCTCATGTCACGGCGTCTTCGCACAACCATCCCTACCCCGACGCCACTCCTTAAACCCGCCATTTACACACGCGTCACAGCACAGTTACGCAAGAGGCAACAGCAACAGAAGTCTTCATATGACAAATCTGCCAAGCCCCTCCGACCACTGAAACCAGGGCAAGTTGTCCGTCTACAATCACCCAAAGGGCACGATCAGCTTGGAATTGTCCAAAAGCATTCCAGAAACCCCAGATCGTACATCGTCAATGCCCAAGGCACACTCTACCGCCGCAATCGGAGACACTTATTGCCAGTCTCTGAACCACCTCCAGAGCAACAACACTCACCTGACTTCTACTTACCGCCACAGGATCCACTGCCTCAGCCTGCCATCCCCCACGCACCTCCACCACAGCCAGTTCTCACTCGTTCCGGTCGCATCTCGAAGCCAAATCCTAAATACACTTAACAGTTTTGTGTGACTGTTATTGCTTCGCCCGCACTGGATTTGTGTGTTGTTCCAAATTTCATGCTGATAACTTTGGACTGTCCCCGACTACTGGACTGTTAGTAACTACATTTGCCTACTTAACATGTGTTATGTGTTGTACACTCCAAAGATGAGGGCAGAATAATCCCTTGTACACACATCGAGTACTGAGACAGTCTATCTCAGTACTCAAGGCATTTGAGTTTTGTTTTTTGTTTTTTTACTATATTATTGGTTTAACCCTCTGTTTGTTTTTCAGAGGAAAGGATAGTAATTGTTTATCTTGGAACATTTACATAACCAGTGTGTTTTTTAAATATTCATTAAGTGTTTTCAAATCAGTGAAATACTCAGACTTTAAATTACCAGACTCCAGTTTACAAATTCACTGATCAAACAAATGTTTATTTCATAAAGCTGTTTTATTCAAATTGTTAAAACTAAACTTAGAAGAGAGGATGTAGCGATTCCCATCTAATCGATGCATTGTAGCAAGTCTAATCCATGTATCCCAGCATGCATCACTCCTAACATGGCCGCTTACATGTTCGTATGTGAACTCGTGTTGTCGTCTAATAAACCTGGAATAGTTCCCAACATATCGGAGTCTATAACTTTCTTCAATGACACATGGCCTCTGAGGAGCCACTCCTTGAGTTGGCCGAACGTCTGCTCAAGGACCACTCGCGACTTTCTGTGACTCCTGTAATTTGAGGGTGCATATCAAAGGTATGTGTATTAATCTAGACTTGAACTAAAGTTAATTTAAGCATGTAATGATTCAAGTGTGCAATTCTGTTCATTGGGATAAGTTATACCTGTTGTAACGTCGCTCAGCATTTGTTGCTAGTTTCAAGATGGGGGTCATCAGCCATGGACGAAGTGCGTAGCCTTTGTCTCCAATGAGCACTCCAGTTAGTCTGCAATACAATAGAGCACAATTGTTACATCTTAAGAGTAGTAACTGCATCATGGCTCAGCAGTTTTTCCATGCAGCTTCCACAAATCGTGGCAGTTACTAAGCCTATATAACAAGTTTTCAAGGCTTCAATCGTTCTATGTGTCTCAGAATAGTAAACAGAAGTTCACACAACAATAATATTCAATTCAAGGCCCTCGATCAGTTTTGTCTTTCAATATTGCCTTGCCTATCGACGATATGTACTTACAGTTTAAGAGAAGCTCTTCTGACATCCATTCATAGCTCCAAAACACACAAATATTGATCCATAGACTCAAGAGAAAGTCAAAAGGATGTCAAAGAGGTTGAAAAAACTTTAGTCCTCCACACATCCTATCACTCGCCATCCCATAATAATGACAACAAACTTTTCTTACAATAAAGGGCGCTATATCTGCCTTAAGCAGTGATTTGTCACCAACTGTTGTAAACATTGCGCTGATATTATTGGGTTGATAGTAGACAACAAGAAATGCATCTTATATTTTTGTTAATGGTCTGATTAGTAATTGTACTTTTTTTGTTTTAATTCTCAGACTTGGTGAAGTTTGACTTACTGTCCATTGGTGAATCTCTCTCCAAGGATGCTTCCATGGATGATGGCGCTATCGTGGGTACTGCCAGGCCACCTGGCTACAACACTGGTTAGTTTGTAGTTGGCTTGGACATTGATGCTATGGTAACCCTTGCGATTTACATACATGTTCCGCTTCTCCCAGTGGCGCTCCATACAACCTGATATGAGTGCAGTCTAATGTACCGACAACGTTGGGAAAACTTGCCATCTCAAAGAACTCATGCTTCACTCTTGCTACATTCTGAGGTTGTACAGGGAACTGGATCACCCTTGGGGTTAATCTGGCCACTGCATTTGCCACTCGATGTACAATGCGGTATACTGAGGGCACACTGACGTCATGTAGGTCGCCATGGACAGTGTAAAATGAGCCCGTGGCAATGGAGCGGTAGTGTTGCCAGAACTTGCATGTGGGCAGGGATTGCATTGCTAAGAAAATTTTGTACATGTACAGTTGTCAGTAATAATAAATGAATTTCAACAAATGTACCAGATCTAGCTTAGATTTCAAATTATAGTTTTGCAATAGACAATTACTTTGTGGCATCACCAAAGGCATTCACATTTTAGATACAAAAAATGGTACATGAATAATGACATTTTAATTAAAATTATATTAAGAATAAATATGACTATATTTTGTGCAATAGGTTACGTCAAGGGTAAATGGTATTTGTAAAGATTATATTATTTAAACTTTTGCTCGGTAAAATGAAGGGATTAAATGAGAACTTACCTGTTTTAAATTTAATCCTGATTTTATGAGAAAGAGCGAGTGAGAGATTACGTGAGATCCCGCCACGCGCATGCCCAGTCATTATTAAAAGCATAAGGATATGAGACCAGATAAAAACCAAATCCCATGGTAGTGCTGAAGGGTATAAATATAGAGAACTGATCCTGGTAATTGAAAAAGGGTGGGAGTGGAGGGCACGTAATCTCTCACTCACCCTTTCTCATAAAATCAGGATTAAATTTCAAACAGGTAAGTTCTCATTTAATCCCTATATTTTATTGCGAAATCTCGCGAGAGATTCCGTGAGACTTTAAAGCATCTGGTCAAATATCCTGCCCAAATACATGGTAAACAAAGGGTGTTTACGTGAATGGTCTTTATGTGTACACATAAATGTAATAAACAAAACTGCAATGAAACCAAAGCTGTGTTGAAGTGCTGTTTTACTTCTTTAATTTCACTGCACTCAAACCTTCACGTTCAGGGAAACACTATGTTGGTACACATTCATCAATTATTTATTGCCTATCCTGGGCAAAAGGCAAGACAAATTGACATACACACTGTATGTGTCTGATGTTAATAAACTTGGCAAATACCTGAAAACTCCATATTATCTGAAAATCTGAGCACAACAGCTCACCATTGGGTGCTCCCTTTTGTACATTTTTAGGGAAACAACAAACTTGTTCAAAAACAACTGTTAATAAAACTCATGACTGAATCCAAGCCAGCACGAATGCATGACTTTCCTCTTAAGTTGGATCGTAACTGGAAAGCAGGCTGTGTGCCATTTCTGGAGTGGCCTGCACAGGTTTGTTATGAAAGGTGGTTTCTGTAGCCCACCCTGCAGTCTTCAAAATGTCTGAAATTGGTACTCCCGATTTATGAGCAGCTGACGTTGCCGCTGCTCGTGTCGAGTGTGCCTTGAATTGTGATGTATCGACTCCTGCTTGGAGCAGCATTGTGTTCAACCATCGAGCAACGGTGTCCTTGCTAACAGCAGCATGGGGGAGTTTGAAACTGATGAAAAGCTGTTGCTCTGTGGTATGTTCCTTGCGTCGTAGGTGTTCAGTCCGAGCAAGATACTGATTTAGGTAGGTGTGAACACACAAACGCCTGTCTGGTGGATATGCTTTCAAGGTGACCACCAGTCCAGTATTGCCAGGGCGACTTTGCTTTAACAGGTCGGCAATGGTGAAGATAACCACGTCGTGTTTAAGCTGCATCATGTCCAGAAGCAGTTTGTGCAGAGTATGTGTTCTGTGTGCTGTAACCAAGGCAATCAGCATTGCCAACTTGAGGGTAAGGTCTTTGAGGGACAGTGTGCCGGCTGGAGACAGTCGGCGCAGATAGTCAAATACAACTTGAACATCCCAAATTGAATTGTATCTTGGTGCAGGGGGCCTTTGTGTGTATGCACCTTTAAGAAAACGGCTGATCAAGGGGTGATTTCCAACAGCAGAATCACCCTCTAAAACAACGAACGATGAAAGAGCACTACGTGCAACATTTAACGAGTTGTAACTAAGCCCAACATTAAAAAGTTCAGTTAAATATGTCACAATCTGGACGGCATTGGTGTGCATAGGATTTGTCGCCCTCTTACTGCAAAAGTCAATCCAGCGTTCGATGTACCCACTGTACTGTTTCTGGGTATATTGTCGCCAGGATGACATGATGATGTTGGTAGCTGCCTCTGGAATTCCTCTGCCTTCGAAGGATCGCCGGACAGTCTGCAACAAAGGAGGTGGAGTTTGGGTTGGGCTGCAAACACCTGTCACTGGCTGTATGAGGAGATTGTGTGACTTTGGTAATAGCACTGGCGGCTCAATCAGCATATTTAGCAGTTGCGAAAACCAGGGCTGGGTAGGCCATTTGGGAAATATCATGAACCCTTCCGTGTTATCCGCAGCAATTTTGTTAAGGCATCTGCCTATTAGACAGAAAGGAGGGAACGCATAGAACTTAGGGACTCCCAGCTTACAGAAAATGCATCAACTGCCTCTGCTTCTGGTTTCCATGATATAAATCTCGAAAGCTGTGAATTTAGGCGGGAAGCAAAGAGATCAATCTCTGGTCTTTCCCGTTCCTTCCACAACTGATTAAAAATCTCCCCATTAAGCATCCATTCTTTTTCATCCTGGAACTCTCGAGATTTTCTATCTGCTATAGTGTTCTGTACCCCAGGTAAATGGGCAGCAGATACCCAAATACCCCCTGTCTATACACCAGTTCCATAACTGTATTGCCAGTAAATTGCAACTGCCAGACTTGGAGCCGCCCATGTGTGCTATGTAGGCAACAGCTGTTGTGTTATCAATGTTCAACTTCACATGCAATTTTTTCTTTATCCCACAGAAAGATTTCAGAGCAAAAAATGCTGCAAGAAGTTCAAGATAGTTAATGTGAACGTCCTCTGATTTCAGACTTTCACTGGCCTTCCAACGTCCCCCAGTATGGGTAGACCCATCAGTTGCCCCCCATCCCTGACCTGATGCATCAGATGCTAACTTTAAATCAGGTTTACCTCTGGAAATGGTGGAAAATGAACTGTCAACATTCTGAAGCCACCAATGCAACTCCTCATGAGCCGTGCCTGACAAACACATCTGTCTATCAAAATGGCCAAAATTCTCTCTGAGTGCTGTGGGTTTTTTCCTTTCCAAAGTGCGGTAATGAAACGGCCCATATTGTACCCCGGGAAAAGAGGCAACCACCTTGCCTACAAGTGTGGCCACATGCCGAATGGTAAGCTTTTTGGCCTAGTGTTCAATCAATAAATGCATTGGGCTAATTTCTGTATCTTTTTGGTTGTCACCTGCTTTGCTGACTTTGTATATTAGTTTCTTCGCTTTCCGTCAAAGTTTTATCTCGTTGTCCAGTCCCCCGCCCTGTTGTTACTTGTACTCCCCTTTAACTTGTTTTGTTTCTGTTTTGTTCTGCAGGGCCCATCCTGATTTACTCCCCCCTCCCGGCTACAATTGGTGTTTTGGCTATAATGCTGCTTGTTACTTTCCAAAGCCATTTGAATTGCTTGGTTTCACAATATGGCTTAAGTCGGTTGCAAATGTATCACTTTCGGCCTTGTCTTTGGTCCTTTCTGCACTTGATACGTTACATCGCTCAGTCTGTTGGCGATGACAAATGGACCTTCCCAATATCTCTGCAGATTTGGGCTTATCCCAGTTTTTTGGGTTGAGGTTTTTTGGTTGGGTTGCATAACCAAACAAACAGGGTCTCTGTGTGTCCGTTGTATTCGTTTTCAGGTTGCCGTTCTATCATTAAGTTGGCACGTAACTTTAAATAACGGCCCATCAACTTACAGGGTCCGCTCATAAGTCCAACGCCTCTTAGATCCGACACCTCATAAGTCCAAATTTCGGGCTTATGAGGCGTCGGACTTATGAGGCATAACATTTATTTATTGCGCCTCATAGGTCCGACGTCTCATAAGTCTCTGACGCCTCATAGCTCCGACGCCTCATAAGTCCGTGACAGCGGTTGTCCATTGTCGGACTTAAAGAGGCGTCAGACCTATGAGGCGGAATTTGGCCTCAATTCCGACGCCTCTTAAGTCGAACTTATGAGGCGTCGGACTTATGATACGGTCCCTTACTCACTAGGTGTTCACCCCGTTATTTCATGGATTAAAATTCGGTATGCTATCAGGACGTATGGTAAGTATGGTAAGTCCCAATCACGTTGGTTGTCTGAAGTGAACATGGACAACATTGCTTCTAGCGTTCTACGTTCAACCATGTCATCAGATTGAGGATGAACTGATGCGGATGTAAGACAGTGTTGTGGGCAAACTCATTACGTCAATTAAGGGAGGACATAGAATGAGTACACATGTGCGGGTATTAACAGGAAAGGTGGAAAACCAGTACAGTTTGAAATTCAACGTGTTTTGGGGTTCAGGAATCCAGACCGGGTCGGGGTGATGAACATCCCTAGGAAATATTGTTTCACAATTTTTTTAAAGGAAATCACGTATGCCAAAGATAAAAACAGGTATGCAGCTTTTCCTCTGTTCCGTACATTGTGCCATTCAAAATAGAAAGCGCTGTACGAAAAAAAGTTGAAAAAAAAGGGGGGGGGGGGTTTCAAAAAAATATCTTCGACTATGTACATCGTTAATGCTTCGGAATGTGACAATCAGCCCATCCGAAACTTCCCAAGCATCAGCCAGGGTCTTAACTACCTGAACTCAGAATGGGTGGGCACAAATACTGCCATGATGAGTCAACTGTTATCTTGAGGGCTACAATGTGATTTTCACGGCAAATCTGCTATCAATTGCATCACTCAAGACACGGTGGTGCCTGATAGTGTTGACAACATTTGCGATCCAATCTCAAAGTCGACAATGAACAGTGCTCCGTTTGATACAGACAGGGCGCTGAAACACACCTGAAAAGACTACACATTTGTGAACTCGCTTCCATACCAGGCACAATTTTAAATTAATAGTTGACATCTACACAAATTTGTAAACCAGCCACCAGTTATCAGTCCATCCCTGTTCTTGGACATCATGAAGTAGATCTTGAATGCCAGCCTTGCCGTGGTATTTTCAACTACTACATCCACTTGAAAGACCCGATTGAAGATAACTTACCTCTCAAACAGAACTCAGCTTTGTGGCCATCATAGAGGAAGCTTTGAATCATAATTAGCTCGGCAGCAAGAATAGGCAAGGTTGTAGATTGCAAAGTCCTGCACATGTTATCAAAATGTCATAAACGTGTTCCACACGCACAGGAATGACTTTTGCTCAAAATTTGACACCTACATATGCGGTATGTTTATGTATCCAGATATATTTCAAAACTTCACCTTCTTGCCGAAGACATTTCAGTTGCGAAAGAAAATACTTAGTTCTCGCAATGCCTGCATGAATGAAAAAGATTTGGACGACTGCCTGTTATGTATTGGCAATTAGGTAATGGACACCTATCTAGCAGCCTGCATCGCACAAGGCATTGATGACATGAAGAGATGAATGCCGTTATGGAGGAGGCTGCAAATGACATTTTGGCATGTAGCAAAGCGTGAAGTATTTGCCAACATACTCGTGGTTTTTTTTTTGACACAGGATTTGCAGATCTGGGAAAGGCACACAGCGGGTGTCAGTGAACCAGATTAATGTATTCCGAGTCAAATGCTGCTCGAACTAAAGGACCACGTTAAGAGGCACGGCTTTAAGCTAAATCTGATCCGTTTCACGATCAGTCTCGCATTCCCCGCATCATCCAGCACGAGACCGACCACAATGCAGT